GCGATTTCGTAGTATTTATTTTCCTCTGTTTCTTTCTTCTTCCTTAGCTTTTGCACAAAGCTCCTTTAACAAAACAAATACGATTCGATCATCAATTTTACGAAACCAAAACAGACCAATTTCATAAGGTACGATGATGAATCATAACTATGTTTTCTTTACAAAATTTTCTCTTATGTTTCTCAAAAGAAATATTTTTAGTCTCTGTGTCTATTACCAAATCAAAACTCGATGTATCAGTATTTGAGTTTTTATAAATTTTTCTCTTATGTTTCTCAAAACAAAGATTTTTATATATTCTTTTTATATATTTTTGTAAGATTTTGAGTTTTGCTTACCGGAGTTTGGTCGGAAGAAACAATGATCATTACAACAGAAGACAGAATCGATCTCACCTTGATCAAAACAGTTCGTGTAATCTGCAACGATCCATATGCAACTGAATCCTCTAGTGAAGATGAAGGAATAATCTCCGGCAATAAGCCTCGCCGTCCGATCAAACCAAAACCACCACTAAAACGTTACGTCTCAGAGATTTGTGTCCCTACACTAATCCAACGGTACGATAACAAACCGAATTCGATTTCAGTAACCGGAAACCGGAAATCTTCGTCGGGATACAAAGGCGTAAGACGGCGAACTTGGGGAAGATTCGCGGCAGAGATAAGAGATCCATTTATGAAAAAGAGAGAATGGCTTGGAACGTTTCAAACTGCTGAAGAAGCAGCAGAAGCTTACCGGAAAAGAAAATGTGAGTTTGATGAACAATTGGGTCTAGTTAACCAACCCGGTTTAGTTAAACCGGGAAAAATCGATGTAGATTTAACCAAATCGTGTGGTTTAAGTAAACCGGAGGAGATCGGAGTAGATTTAACCAAATCGTGTGGTTTAAGTAAACCGGAGGAGATCGGAGTAGATTTAACCAAGCCGTGTGGTTTAAGTAAACCGGGGGAGATGAGGGTAGACTTAACGAAGCCGTGTGGTTTGAGTAAACCGGCAGAGAAGATAATAGACCTAACCAAGCCGTGTGGTTCAAGTAAAGTGGGAGAGAAGGAAGTAGAGTTAACCAAACCACCGTATGATTTGCTTTCCTCGCCATCATCAGTTCTAATTCCGTCCACGGCATCTCCGGACGACGACGATAGTGAGGATAATGGCGAAGCGGTAAATACGGGAAGTGTTTTGGATTTAACATTTGGGTTTGGTTGTGTTGATGATGAAGAAGAAGGAGCAATTGATAGAATGTTGGAAGATCCGTTAATGACATCGTCGATTTCGGATATTTTTGGAGGGACTATTTTTGCTCCAAATGATATATGGTTGGATTATAGCACAATGGAATTTAATTCGATTTTAGATGATCTAAAATTTGATTTTGTGGAGAAGGATAATCACAATGGCAAAATTGAGAGTAATATTAAAACGGGTAAGATGAAATTTTTGGGAACTAAGCATGAGAATGACAATAATGAAGTTGTCAAAAACTCGAAAATCGAATCAACGGTTGCATATAATTTGGATCACGGGTTATTTGAATCGTCTGATTTTCCGGTGGAAGGTGAGGTTGATCCGACGACGGATGATTTTTTGTTAGAGGTTTTCCCGGTGGATGATTTTGGATGTTTAGGAGAGGTTGATGATAATAGTTGTTTTAATGATGCCATGGAGGAGTATATCAATATGAGTTTATGAATGTTTTTTTGGGGGTTTTTTCTAAGCTACAATTTCTGTAATTTTTTGGGGTTTCGGATGGAAAAGTTTTGTAACGTTAAGTATTATATAAAAGAGATAATCATATATCACTACTTTTAACTTACAAACGTAAAAACATTTTACTAATTTGACGACTAAAACATAGGCTTCTACAGTCTTCTTACGGAAATGACAAACTTAATGAAAAAGAGCAAGTGTTAAGGCCAAGTCTTAATCCCATATTTAAAGCGTATAAGTGTGTACCTTGTGATTCACGTCACCTAGATATTGATCTCTTCGATCTCTGATTCTCTTAATCTTTCTCTATCTAATTCATTGAAACATAAGGGTTTACTCGATTAAACACTTATGGGTTTAAGAACACTCTTTTGTTCGATACATCGTCTGATTTCTTTGCAATTTTTGTAGTTAGGGTTTTCGAAAATGAAAAATTTCAAAGTCATAGTGAATCAGATGGTTAGTTTAAAGGTTTTGAGGAGAACTTGGACTGAATCGATTGTAATCTTCTTTTGATTCAAGAAAATTGGTTTCGATAGCTTCTGGTTTCTTTGTAGTATTAACTTTATTATTTGACATAAACTTAGTACAAAGCAAAATATGAGAGAATATGTTCTTAGGAACCGATTGTTAAAGATCTTCGAACAAATCGACCTTTCATTCTTGGTCTTTTATCTGCATTAACTTTTCTAACCTCGTACCTTATCTTCTTCTCGAACAATCGATTCTTCCTTTTATCTCTGTATCTCCATACTCTAGCTTCTCTCTCACTTCTGCTGCTCACTTTCTTCTCTTCTCTCCCCTGCAATAAAAGGTCCATTAACATAAGTTTCTCTTATAATTTGGGTGACTTTACTCAATTTGAAACTATGATAACATTTTGTAAATAAGAAATGAGAGTATGAGCTTACATGAGGAACTAGCTGGAATTTACTTGTGTCGTTGAACATAGTTTGGTTTCTTGTTGCTTCTCTTGGAGATTCTTGTTTATCCCAAGCTGCTATAACATTTTCGTAATTAAGTCTAAGTAACATGTTCCCCTGCTTTGCATTATTACTCTCATACTCTTCATTTTCTTCTGTCTTTGTTATCGCTACGACATTGTCATTATCTTTCTTGCAGCTCATCAAATATGGTTTAGGACATGCCTCATCTCCATTGGTTTTAGCTTCTCCTTCTCCATTGTAATATAGATCCTCCATTGCATCAATTTCATCTTCAAAGTTGAAATTTCTCGTTGTTTCTTCTTCGGTACTGCTCAAGAAGAATCCTATCTCTGTGAATCCCTGAAACTCTGGCACAAGAGAAGTCAG